GATGACTATAACCATTCAGTTCAGAGTAGGATGGCGGTGTTCTGCTGGTGTAGAAGGAGTTGCAAGATCCTCCGGAGGAGTGACACATGCCCGGAGTGAGATGCCTAAATGCAGTTCACCCCTCTGATTGAGTGCTCTTCTCCATGGATATCGTTTCCCAGTGAATGAGGTTTTGGAGATCGAGTGAATCAACCACACAAGTCCTCACACAGGTTTTGATCGTCCATCTCCTCTCCTCAACTTGGTCTTCTGTGTTGTGGATCGCAGGAGGTCTATGTGGCCTATTTCTGTTTCTGTCCTGGGCATTCCCTTGTTCTCAGAATGACATGGATGTTACAAACCTGTGGACGTGATTGCATGCTATGGACTTTCCTTGGATACCAGGTGACACATTCCCAGATCCCTAACTGAATGCTCATCCTGTGACAATTCCTGGAATCAATATTATATGTACATTCACGACTTTAGGACTAAAAAACAAAATGAAGTGAAGATGATATGATCCTCAACCTACCATTGTGTGGATGTTGGTACTCAGTGAGTGTGGTTTTAGATGTATTTTACTTAAATAATAACTTCCAATGCACCCTAGCCACTCTACACCATGAAACACATCCTCCCATTACCTACTTTCATTTTGTGGGATTGAGTGTAACTGTTTCTCTGATTGGGATCACATTACTGACCTGTCCTCTCCTAAGTGGATGTGCTCCCTTCAAATTCTGCCATGTTTTGATCCCTCCTGTTCATGGCGAAGAGATACCTGGTTCAGAAGTGGTGCAGTGCCCCTTCTCAGATCATCTGATCTGTTTCTCTCATTCCTGTTCTTCCCTTACACCAATCCCTCCTCATTTTCAGTGTGGGATTCAAGCTAATCTTGTGAGAGGAGGGAAGGTAATGTATCAGACGTTATAATTTTCCTATACAAAAATGTATTTCCGATAGGTACTTCCTTCACCTCACTCTTTCCACCGTTCCTCCCCACAGTCTTCTGGGGCTCATGTCCTCTGCCAAACTTTGAAGAGATAGTTTGGCAGTGGTGCATAGAGGGAGTCACATGACAGTTGTCCTATTGGTGGAGAATTATGCATGATAATCTGCATGAGAGACATGTTGGAACTTTAGATTCCAACAAAGAGATGTGGAAGGCTTGTGGAATGCATTTCGAAAAAAAGTTTGCATATAGAGGGCATCATAAAATGGGAAAAGCTAATATTGTGAGTGGAAGGAAGTACCTATCGGAAATACACTTTTGTATAGGAAAATTATAACTCCCATCAATTTGATCATAATTAGACACTGAAATTTAGTTTTTGTAGTGCCATTTAAAGTTTAGCAACAGAAGGAGTTTTTGGTATTATGATCAGTTTGAATTTTGGACAGACTTAATATGTGCTTGTTAACTGGAGCTTATTCAAGTAAAGATATATCAAAATTAATAATTGAGGCAGTCAAATCAAAGTAACTTTTGAACATAGTTTGCTGGGGCTGTGATGGAGAAGGAGGCAGTTTGTAAACTGTCTAAATATGGGTAGGTTGATGTATGCATGTCACAAACTTTTTTCGAATTTACATTTAAAACTTAATTAAACTACTATATTATCAATATATGTCAATAAACATAGCATCATGATGTTGTTTATAATTCATATTTTAAATATAAGTTTTAATTTCAAAAAGGAAATATTTAAATACATTCTCAGTCATCACTTTTATGTATCATAGCACTCCTTTGCTCCATATTGTACATTTTAGAATTTCTTTCCACCCATAAACTATTTTATAAGTTTCTAAGGACCTATACATTTTAATGATAGATATCTCTGAGCTAAAATGTAAACTTATAATGGCTATTCTTCTTGCCATAAATTTAAACTTGCATGCCATGCTTCTCCTAGCACATTCTCTCTTTTAAAACATGTGAACAATTCTCTTCAAAATTTGCTGTTGGATTATTTGTAACAATAGAAAGAGAAGATTTTTATACACTGCCTTCTTTATGAAGTTAATTCATTCTCATGATCTGATTTGAATTATTCTGTGTCAATTTTAAAGTCTGTGATCACTCGGGTCTTATCAACCAAGCAAGGAAAATATTTGAATACATATATAGCTTAGTTAGAAAACCAGTTAAATGTTTATAATTTTAGGACATTGTTTTCTGGTTCCATATTAATATTTTGTTTTAAGTTACATGTTTAAAATAAATAAAAAAATAAGTGAATTACTAACAACACCCCAATAATAAAAAATAAAAGGGTTAACTTTCATTGAAACTTTACGACTCTGAGAGCAAAAAAAGTGCAAGATGTCAAAATAATAAGACTTATTCTTCTTAATATTATCTATAGTAGTAGTATTTAATAAGTTGAATAATATGGGTCTGTTGGGCTAAGGAGTATTCTACAGTAGGTGTCTGTGACTTGTTAGTGATAAATTTAAAAATAAACGAATAGCACTCACTCCACTTGTTTTCAGATAATATATTAAAAATAAGTTAGACATATCTACAACAAATTCTCTACACCACAGATATTGTAGGCATATCATAAATGCTACCTAGTTCTCTTCTTGTCAAAAGTACACTTAGGTCTATTCAATTGCTTTAGAATTTCAATTGAAAAGCCAAACTATTTTTCTCTAATACTATCACCAAACTATCTGAGTACAGTTCATTTACTTTATTATTGAGTTACCACGGTTGTATCCTATATTTCTAAAATCATCAGCTCTTTTTTCTCTCTTTGTATTTCCGAGAATCGCCTGTCTATATGTCAACGTCCACTGAGGCTAGTTCAATTACTTTAGAACTCTCTTCGATAAAATAAAGTACTATTCTTATCTCTATCAACACTGTTAGTCTCACTCTAATATATCAACCGTTAAGCTTACATTAGTCGTTAGGCCTTCCACTCCTACAACGATTAACTTTTTTTGGCCGAATTCCTTCCTGTAACTTTACTTCTCATCCGATTTGTTTGTCTATCTGTCTACTTCCCCACTCATCTTACACTATTTAGATATTTATTACTTAATCGTCTGCTCGCTATATCCTCGACATCAATAAATTTCACCTGAAGTTCAATAATCTTGACATCAGTAAGTTACAAACCCAATGTATGACTCTTACTGAGTTACATAACTAAACTTGTCATACCATTTACTTTAAAATAATTGTTTCTAACAATCATAAAATATTCACAAAATAGATAAATTAATAATATATACACTAAACCGTCTTTTATATCATGACATAAGACCTACACGTAAGTAGTAAATTATTTGTTTTTTGTGGATATTTTTTATGTATTGTTATAGAATTAACAAAAATGAAAGAAATTAAATAATAAAGAATACTTGATAGCATAAGAATGTCTAGGCAAGTGCAGCATATTGTAATTTGACCGAAGTGCTGGTTAGTTGAAGCTGTGTTAACACAAAACTTCCCAGCTGTGATAATTCACTTTGACACTAAGTAGTAATAAATCTAAATGATTAGGATATTTGAATTGTACTAACTTTGGTGTAAGAATAAATAGTATGAAATTGTCTGTAATATTATGCAATCATTCTAGAAAGAAAAAAAAGGGTAATTTAGATTTTTTTTTGTGGTGGTTACAAGATCGATCAACTCGACTGAGTATGTATATAGCAGTGGTTGGCAACCTTTTTTGATCGCAAATCAATTATTTTTTTTTGAAAAATTTAGAATTGTGTTGGTCAGTGATAATCATATAATTATTAATACAGGTACAT